GTGTATAGTTATTGTAATGTCTGTCTGTGGTTCAGATATTTTTTTTTACCAAAAATGTTCAATGTTAGTTATTTATTGTAATAAAAGTTATTTTGTTACTCAAATTATTTGGTTTTTTTTTGATACCCAGTAGTTAATTAATGAGGGTGGACGTAATTTGGAGAAAATGACATTTTTTAATAACTAACTTTTTCATAAAAAAATCGGCCTCGAAAGTTCGTGAAATTACATCTACTTGTTAATAGCTCTCATGCCAAAAAAGTTTTGACGTTGGCTCCGCCCAAATTTGTGAAACAAATATATGTCTGAAGTTCGCGTGACATTCGACAGGAGATGTTGAATTTTGCGCATTTAAAGTATCCAATTTCATTTTAGCGGAACAACTCTAAAACTAAAGGGATTAAAAAAAATCCGTAGTGACAGTTGTCGATCATGCATAAATATAATAAATTATCTAATTTTTGTCCTAATAACATGTAGCATTTCGAGGATAAATCGAAAAAATGTGAAAATTAGAGGTCATTTCGTTGTTTTTTTATCTATCGAGGAAACTTTATTGGTTTATGTTTCTGATTAATGTCTGTGCTTGAATATATCGTATCGTGTAGTTACTCATACAATATTTTATTTTTAACTGTTAAAAATAAAATATATCCCTCTAAAATCAAATCGAAGATTAGGAATTTTTCCTCTGCTCCCTCTTAAGCTTCATTGAAATCGGTTACCGGAAAGTACGCGAAACCGGATTCATCCTAGTTTGCCAGCCTTAGAGGTGGAATATTTTCTTGAAATTTAAAACCTCTTTCCAACAAAAAAAATCTTCGAAAGAAATCGGGTCACAAATGCCGGTTTAATCGCGAAACAAACACACACAAAATACCGTTGAATTGAGGATCACCTCTTTTTTTTTGAAGTCGATTAAAAAGGCTTCCAAATATTAACAGTTAGCTCCTAAAATATATCATTATTATGACTACCTATGGCCTGCATACAAAACACAACGATACACGGTCATTATAAATAAATAAATAAATCTCTTCAGTACTATATTTGAGCACGTTTAGACAAAAACATTATATAAATTTGTTTGCGCTAACGTCCGATTCGTATCAGGGGCTACACTCATTCTCCGTCCGAAAAAATAACTGTCAAATAAGTAATACTAGACCAAATTAAAAGACGTATAATGCGAGTGAAGCTTCATACTTGACGTTGTCTTTTAATTTGGTCGAATATTACTTATTTGACAGTTATTTTTCGGACGGACGTCAGACGGAGGACGAGAGTAGACCCCCAGTTTCGAATCCGAGAAAATGACTGTCCGAAATGTCACAGGTGTCCGAAGTGTCATTTTATCTTTAGGTATACAAGCGATATTCGTATTTTCTCGGATTGGAATCGGACTTAGTACACAAGCGACATCGGAAGTGGGCGTTTTCTAGATTTGCACAGCCTTGGATTCGGACGAATACGAGTCGAATGCAGCGCGTAAACGCGCTAACTCCTCCTATCCTGATTTCTCCTTCTGATAAAATTGAATAAGTCTATTTTATTCATTTTTATGGACAACTCCTATTGGCCAAATAATAACTGTGCTAAAATTACTCCAGAAGTTTGTTATAATTCGACCGAACACAAATAAAATTTCCACGATCTGACAGGACCAGTTGCCAGAGATTGGTAAAACAGACACAGGTTCGGGTATTTTAAGAAGTCATGGTAGCAAAACACCGTAATATTCACAATCAACACTATGGTAAAAATTGTTTTCTCTAAAAAAACTCCAATGATTTTAATAATAGTTTACCTGTGTCCCTTAAAAAATAATAAATAAAAATAAAAATATTTTATTGTCAGATACCACAGAAAGGTCCATAGTTTGTTACTAGCAGTACTTTGTACTATATTAGTAACCATTGTTTGTTTATTATATTATTTAATGGCTCCATCGTTTTCGATTAGAAACTTGAACTTTTGACAGGTGTGAACGTCAAACATGGAAAAATAAAGGGAAAATGTTTATTTTTCTGATAAATATGATTTTTTCAAAATGGACATTTTTCCATGACTAACACTACGCGCGCGTGTCGCGATAGTGGCGTTGCAGCTGCGGTTCTAATATTGTACGAAAATCAGTAGGAGCGCGGCTGCAGCGCCACCGTAGTGCCACTGCAGCGCTTCTATATGGCTTAACTCATACTGGCGTAGAGTCGAAGCGTCGCGACGCGTCATGTTTTTCGCGTCGCGACTTTATATTTGCGCGTTACTTGAGCGCAGTGAGACGTTGTAGTTGAAAAACAGGATGCGACGCGACGCTTCGACTCTGCTCCAGTGTGAATTGAGCCTATGAGTCTAATTTGACGCTTGTCCATGACGCTTACGCAATAGCTGAATAATATAATATGCAGAACAATTAAGCAACCAAATATTACACCTTGCAATTTGTTCCCTTACTTAACCCTCTACGTGACTTGATTAGATCATTTTGAGTATTCGTATCAGAAAAAATACATTATGTTCACATGTCATTGTGCACCTGAGCTTACACTACTATACATACCTAATCTCTTTTGAAAATATGTGTTAAAATATTTTTTCTAAATTAAATCGCTTATTTCCGGTGATTCAGCGAAAAAGACGTTATTCAACCGGAATTAGTTAATTTTGAAAATGTGTTCTTATTTTTTATTAGTGTAAAAGGCTGTCAGTTGTTTTTTTTAATCAAATATGAATAGAAACCTTTTTGGTGATATTAAATGTGCACTGGGACTAATTCTGGTGTTTAGTGGTGTAATTAAATATGGAAATGGTTGTTTAAATACGGGTTGGGAGTTTTTGTTAGAGGACGTAATATCAGACATATGTCCTATTTTATCCAGCTGTGCTTCACATGTTAAGGATTTGCTTAAACTGCCCGTAATAGGTAAGTAATTTTAGTTTACCTTTTGACTGTTAACCTATATACAGGGCGTCTCACGACTTTAGGACACGGAGGAAATTACTTTAAATATTATAGTATAGGATATTTTGCTTCATGGACACATTATTTTATATTCAAAAGTAATAAATACTGCATTCAAAGACTTAAAACTAGCTTACCTCATCAAACTAGAAATGAGGAGATCCGAAGATGAACGAAAGTCACCGACATAGCTGAAAGGGTTAGCAAGATGAAGTGGGCGTGGGCAGAGCACACAGCGCATAGAACTGACGGCCGTTGGGGCAGAAAGGTTCTCGAATGGAGGGCCACGAACCGGAAGGCGTTCAGTGTTACGGCCGACTACTAGATGGACGGATGACCTGGTAACTTCTGCAGTGGACGTCTTCCGGCTGATATGATGATGATTACCTCATATAGGAATCGAACTGTGGAAAAAATCTAGTATTTTATGATGTCAACCCACCGTCAAACGGTCAATTATAATGATAAGGATTAATTCCTGTTAACATGCTGTCTTAAAATAAAGGAACACCACCGTTCGAATATATTAAGTCTTTGAATGCAGTATTACTTTAAAATCATAACAGCCCGGCACGGTAACCGTTCGGCCACGGAGGCAGCTAAACTATAGACAAATTAGAAATGAAACTATTATTGGGGATCTTAAACCGCGTATAATAAACCAACGAGTCTTCACGGGTCTCATAGTGACGACTGATGAGATGGCTTTCTTTGTTTGAAAAAAAAACGAATATAAATGAATTTGTATCCGAAAAAAATGTTTTCATTTTTAGCGTGTTGCAATCGAAAAAAATCAAGAACTCGATATAGATAGATACCAAGAAATATCTCATTTACGAAGTATTTTTTCGTAATTTACCTTGCTGTTTTTACTTTATTTAGTAGGGGAGACCGGGGCTGGTAGTTTACGAGGTAAGTTATTCTCACAGCAATAATTTTGCAAGGAAAATATTATATAGCAAAACATGTGAAGCGCGTCGTTAAAGCGTCAGGTGATGCGTCTTGCCGGCAGCCACTTCAGTTACTCCGGCGACGACCGACGGAAGTGTGGCTATGCGTGGAGCTGTCAAAACATCACGTAAGTAAATTTTATCTTGTTTAAATTTTTTGGCCTGTTTTTTTATTATGGGCCGATTTATACGTAACTTTTCTAAATTGTAGTGACATTAGTAAGGAATCTTATTGTTTGAGAATTTTTTGATTCAGTCAGTCTTCGTATAAAAACGTAATTTGGGGCTATAAGTACCTCCCGTGACGGGTTGGTTGTTCCTAGGAACAACTTTCCCAGTTGACCTGCAAGCATACCTAAAAATTCACATGACCATTTTTCTTTGTTTTAAGGATGGGAAACTACAAACGGGCTCATGTCAAATGTTCAGACAAGATGATAGAGTCATTTATGTGTGTCTCAACTGTGATTCAGATGAAGAAATAAGCGATGAATAATATTACTGATGAATAAGAATGTAGTTGGTTTTTTTAAGTTACTTGTGTATAATATAAACATCACATTCAAAACATTATAAAAAGGTGGTTTCATTTAAGAAATCCTTTATTATCCTGTCATAATCTAGGCGGGACAATTTGCCTCAAAGGCGGAACAACGCGCCCCAAAGCGGGGCTGAGTGTTCCGAAATTTGTCAAAAATTTGCCTCTATAAAAAAGACTATTGAGATATTAGTAAAACTGACTAAACTATTACAAAAAGCGATAAACATTTGTTCCATATTTCCACATGTTGAAAATCAAATACTTCATTTTCAGTGTAAAATTTCAAGTTATTTGAAAATCGGAACGTTCAGCCCTGCTCTCCTCTACATTTACTTCATAAATTTTATATACAATTGTATTCTAAACAATTATAATATAGTGCACAAGATATGTCATTGACTTTAAAAAAAATATTTTGAAAGACAATGGTCCTAAATCTTAAATTAAAAACTCCATTATGGTAGTACCAAACACATTTTGATTTTTTTTTAAATAAATGCACGTACATTTTAATCAATTTTATCAATTAGATGAAGAAGAACCATCGATACCAAAGGAACTTATATCCGAAAGTCTCCGATGCGGTCGAGAATTATCCCGCGCGGCTGTCAAGCGGGGAAATCAACTCGTCCGCAATGGAGTCAACCTGCAGGCTTGCTCGCCAGCCATGTTGCATTTCTTCTCCAGTAATTTGTCTCCAGAATCCAAGAAATCCGCTGAAGTGTCTCATGAAATTATCACTGCCACTAAGTTGTTGCAAATGAAAGTCTGTTCCTGGTAAGTAGAAACGTATTTTGGCAAAATTTTTAAATACATAAATAGTGTAATGGGACGCTGAAAAGGAACGTCTAAAGTGCATTTGGAAAATATTACAGGAGAGCGATTTAAAGATTGACTTGACTGAGATTTCACTAAGACTGGAATTTACAGAACTAATTATGATATCGACTAAACGAAAATGGCGAGTTAAGTTTTTCATATCCACAAAACGAACTTTCACTAAGTTTAAGCAAGAAATTAATGAAACTTTACGTTTGGGCGCTGTGGCAGTGCCTCCCAGATCTTTGCGATTTAAAGCTCTGAGTGGTACTGCAACTGTTCTGGATAGGCGTGTCGCTTACCATCAGGCGCACGATTTGTTCGTGCCGTCATTATAAAAAAAGTTTACCTTGTATTCAAAATTACAAAGTATAGTTTAGTAGTTGCTTTTGTTGCTTGGACTTAGGCAAGGTTCGTTTTGTAAATACGAATAACTTGGCCCGTTGGGTTTAAGGTCGAAGGAATTATTCTTTGTTTTTTTTTATTTTTTTTTTAGCTCACCATTTGTACTTAAACGAAGTCCAAGTTTATTTTCGACTAGAACGTCTATAACAATCCATAATTATGTCATTGATTTGCTTATTCGTACGATGTTCTTCGTTTCTTCGTTTCTAAAGGAGTGGTGACTCCTTTAGGAACTTATTTACGTGGAATCAGTTTGAACTGTTCCGTAAAGGTTTTATGACCGTTCGTCCGCCGGTTTTTATATCCGCCGACGCGAAACACAATGTCTTTTTCGCTCTTATTTCATGGTCTCGAAGGTTTTTCTGACGACTTATGGGCAACTGTGTCAATAAGAACCTCCTCCTATCTTTGAAGTCGATTATAAACTAATTTAATTTTCTTCTACCCAATGTTCGAACCATAATTATACTATCACAATTTTGTATACGTACTGAGTTTCTGTAATGGGCTTTTACACTGCCTATAACACATTTGTAAGATATGTATAGAAATGCCGTAGAAACTTTGTTGATTAAATAAAATAAAATAAAATACTACTCCAACAGTATCAAATCAATCATCATCAATATTATTTGCAGCTCATAATTACCTACTTATTTAATTAATAATACCTGAGTTGTGGAAAATTTAAAAGTTATTGAAAGGATTCTAGTAGTTAACGCCGGAATGAGTTGTCCAATATTTTATCTGTCATTATTTAAACCTTTCATTACCGTAATGTAAAGACTCGACAATGATTGTAATTTTAATTTACGATGAAAACGCCATCAGTTTGCAATACGGCTTGTCATTGTTTTAAAATACATAGCAGGGACAAAGTCACCTTTCCGCCTATTGGCTGTGTTAAAATAATATGTTACATTTCTTAGTAATCAAATTCAAATTAACCACCACCATTTTACATCTTTTTTTTATTTATTAAGGCTTTGGCAAAGCCAACAGCCTAAACATGAAGTTTAATTATGTTTCTGTAAATATGGCCGCCACAAAGAGGATAGGCAATTTGAGGTGGCGTACTTGGATTGACTCGGGATTCCTTAAAACGGGCCGATACGGGTATTTTAGTTCGAGATTCGTATAATTTCGCGTTTTTCGATTAAGGCACAATAGCACTATCCTATTCCACTTTAAACTACATTTCACAAAATAATTGGAAGTCAAAATAAAAACGACACTTTTCCCTCCAAAAGGTCCAGAGCGAATCCTTTTACATCTTACACAATTCCCAAAGATAAAACAAAAAAAAAACTAGAACATAAAGTAAACCTCACTTTCTTTAAAAACTTCGGAACATAGCCTTTTGAGAAACTAAGTCATATTTGTAACATGCCTCCTTGATTTAGTATCTCATGATTGAAAAACGCACTATATTAATATAAAGTACCTTAATATAACGTTTACGTTAATCTATTGAACATTTAATACCTAACAATTCTCTAACCTTCAAAAATTTTACTTTACACAGAGCTTTAGTCAGCATGTCAGCAACCTGATCTTCTGAAGAAATCTTTTATACACTAACTCTACTCTACTTGCCTTTCTTCTCATAATCATACACAAAATGATAACTAATGTCAATGTGCTTAGTTTAGTTCTTGGAAAATTTACTATTTTTAGCTAAGCCTATTGCACCCATATTATCTTCGTATATTTTCACACTATCCTCTATTTTCACATCTAAATCACTTAAAACTCCTCTTGTAGGTAGCACCTCTTCAACACAATTGGCAAGAGCGTAATACTCAGCATGCGTAGAAGCTCTAGAAACTATCTTCTGTTTTTGTGACCTCCACATATCACAACATTACCAAACACTTCAATAACTATTCCGCTCGTGGATTTTCTATCCTGTATATCAGTTGACCAATCAGCATCTACATATGCATTCATTACTTCATCAAAAGTCTTTAGGTTTCTTGTGTGATATAAGTGTTTCAGTGCTCGCAAAGCATATTTATAATGAGTTTCGTCATAACTGTTTTGAAATCTGCTTAGATAGTTTACAGAGTAAGCTACATTTGGTCGTGTTCCATTTGCCACATACAAAAGCGCTCCAATTAAATTTGTATATTCCAATTTTTCATTTACTTCTTGTGCAGGCTCCAATTTTAAATTTATTTCCAATGGTGTATCAATTGGTTTTGAATCAGTAATTTTGTACTTCTCAGCTAAACTCTCAATGTATTTATCTGGGCTTAAATACATTTCCTTTTCTTTGGGTTTGTGATCATCGTTGACACCTAAACATTGTTTTATACATCCTAAATCCCTAATACGAAACCGATCGCTTGACAATTTTTTAACTTTCGTAATACTCGTTTAACCTTCGCTAAAGATTACCAATTCATCTACGTTTAAAATTATATATATTTTCTCACCATTTACACGTCCTGTGTACAGACAGTAGTCCTACGTAGATCTTTTGAAAGTTATACTGAAAAGATCTGTCTTTTGAAAGTTATACTGCAATAAAAGTCATGAATACAGTCATACTAATTACGTGGGGTTTTGTCTCAGTCCATAGAGTGCCCTTTTTAACAAACAAACTTTATTTTGTTGAACGGTATAACCGTCTGGTGGGTATATGTAAACTTCTGATTTTATGGCTCCATTTAAGAAAGCAGTTTCCACATCCATCTGCTCAATATACCACTCACGTACACAAGCAGTCGATAACAATACTTTTAAAGTGGTCATTCCAGCCACTGGTGAATATATTTCTTCATTTTCGTCACACATCTGCTGAAAACCCTTAGCCACAACTCTCGCTTTATATATACCACTTGATTTAATCGTATAAATCCATTTAACTTCAATAATATTTCGATCTATTGGTTCATCTACTATCTCCCAAGTTCCCTTTCTTTCCAAACTTTTTATCTCTGACTGCATAGCCTTTTGACAGATTCAGAACAAGTTATCGCCTCTTTATAGTTTTCAGGGACATTTGCGTTACACATATTCACATAAACAACATAGTCTTTATATCTATCGGGCTTCTTTTAGGTTCTTTGGGGTCTTCCATATACAATTAATTCTTGTTCATTTTCGTTTTCATTATTTCTTTCATTGTCTATCTCTCTTATATTAGTAGTTTTCGTCTCTTTCTCTGGTTCAGTAAAATTATTATCAACTTCTCTTTTATCTTCATCTTCACTGTTGTATTCGATAAATCTAGCTGTATCATCCACAAATCGTACGTACCTGCTTGTAACTATTCTATTTTCTACTAACATTTTGTATCCTGTGTCTGTATAAGCGACTATATACTGCTGTCTGTCTAACGATATGCTCCTGTCTCTACACATTTTGGCCAGTATTCTTTTTCAATTTTTGCTTCTGATAATAAACATCTAGCTCTGTCCATTACTGATCTATTAAATCTTTCTGTTACTCCGTTTAATTCATGTGTGGGACATGGATTTATGTAAATCCCTCTTTCTTTAGCCAATCTGTACATATCTTTATTGATGTATTCTCTTCCATTATCACACCGCAACTCTTTTATTCTTTTCCCAGTTGCATTTTTAACAAAATTCATGTATTCCAAGAAACATTCCAACACTTCACTTTTGAATTTATAATACAAAAAACTTTAGCAATCCTACTATAGTCATCGATAAAAGATACAAAATAGCGTTCACCATCAATACCTGTGGGATTTAATGGGCCATTTACGTCAGTGTGAACTATTTCTAAAACATCATTCGCTCGTCGGTTATATTATTATTTAGAAATGTAACGTATTATTTTAACAGGCTGTATAAAACTAAACAGTAAACTTATTTTTCTTTTCCTCCCCATTCTTTTAAAGTTGTCATTGTTTACGAATTATAAAACAAGGAAAAAAATAGTTTCAAAATGGCCACTGTAAAGATTTACCGCGAAAAAATGTGAGAATTATAGTCTAAAGACAAAATGATAGTCTGAGATCTAGCAACATGGCCAATTAGACGCCGTAGCCTGTCCCGAAGGACGAAAAATTTTACTATTACCTACTATGACTACTAAAAATACTAATATACTAAAAGGCTGTACGGTAGTATTACCTTTGCCTACCTACTTCAAATTAAATTATTGTCATCTTTTAATTTTACAAATAGCAAAAATATGGCAGGTTTTTGTAATTACAGGGTAGAGTTACAGTTTTTGCATGAATTAATAGTTGTTTTAAGTATATTACGTTTTGAGTTCCTTAATTACTTGTTACCTTTTTAAGGTGATGGCTCTTTAACCAATGCTTATTAAAGAAATAATAAGTGGCAGATTTTTTGGAGTTACAGATTTGACACGAATTCATTCAGAAAAAAAAATTAGACAAAATAAATAATAATACTCAAGGAGTTTCTTCTTCTAAAATTGTTTCACCGTAGCCAGCGTTGCAATATAGTGCATTACGATTTTACAATCCGACTTTGATTTGCACATACTGCACAATAGTAGTTACTAAATAACATTTGCATAATCAAGATGGAATGTGTAGCGACAATTACTGACTACAAATGTAATCATTTGCACAACATACATTCATTATCATATCGTAGATGATTGTTTGATGTAACTTATCTAATCCGTATTAGATAAGGGCAAGCAATAATAATTAAAATATTATTGCTGTGGCCTATTTTTGTAAGGTAATGTGTGCTCTACGTAGGTATAGACGGAAAATCTTAAATTTAAAGTTTAGTTTTTGACTTTATCGACTACATAATCTATGACATCGAGTATATAACCAGAAATAGAGGCGAAATGTCATTTAATTTGTTTGAAAACTATTCTGCCATATCATTACTGTGACAACTGCGCTCCGATTGGCCAGCCCGAGTCCGAAACAATTGACGGGTGTCGTCAATGGGTGTCGGCAACTGTTTCACTTCAAATCGACCAGTTAACTTGAGCTTTGCTATAATGGACGACTATTGCAAAATTACATAATTAATATTTAATTACCGAAGAAATGTGATTCCGTTTGTTTTGTAATTAGATGTTTTGCTGTTTTTCCAACACCACCGAATAGAACGGCACGGCATTGTTAGAGATATTATCTTTATTATATTAAATACAGAATATTTTTTGGAATATACGGAGACGAGTTGGCATGTCTACATTTCAGTGCAAACGAGTGTTGATATTTATAAGAGCTGTATCGCTAATGTGTTACCAGGAATATATGGCGCTTATTTCGTCTCTATTTCTGGTTATATACACGATGATCTACGATAAGCTACGAAAATAGATTTTTTGAACCGACTTCAAAAAAGCTGCTATCGTGGGGAAAGGATTTGCCCATCGGCATAAGGGACTCGCCGATTGTAGCCCAGTGTGCATCAGATGTCCGGGAAAGGAATGGTTTATGTCGTATGGGGAAGCTACTTTCGTGCACCCCTATTCACATGTGTGTAACGTTTTTATTATTGTGATAGTCTAATTGACATTATACAACAAGACGTGTGCATGCTATTTAATATATTGTCGCCTTACTTCCTCAACCTCGTATCTTAGGGTCGTATTCCAGAACTCTACTCAACACTCAAGTCAGGACTTGAGTATTGCAGTAAGCACTGAAAATCATACTCAAGTCCTTGCCATTAGGGTCGTATTTCCAGTGCAATCCTGACTTGAGCATTGAGTAGAGTTCTAGAATACGACCCTTAAAGCACAAAGTTACTGAAATGCGAAAAATGGATTGTATATACCTATACAAATTTTGCAGGCTGATTTCACATTACATTTCCTTCATATTCACACACTGCCATTTACCTGTGTTTAATGTAATGCACCCAAATGAACACCCTTGATAAATTTAAAATAAATAGAAAGTTTTGCCATCTCTTGAATTATCACTCTTTATAAGATACGAGTTTGAGAAAGTAAGGCATCGATATGCGAAACATGTTTTTACTGGCACTGTCTCTTGTAACATCTTCTGTTATACTATGTTTTAAGTAAATAAACTAATTATAGAAGGAGGAGGTTCTCAATTCGATTGTATTTATTTGTGTGTGTGTATGTTTATTTATTTATTTATTTAAATAAACATACAGCTTACATATTACATAAATGTTTTGTTTACCTATTAAATATTAAATTTAGCCAAATTTTGTTTCCAATGATAGATAATTCACAAAGTGAAAGCCGAAAACACTTAATCTACTACACAATGACAAAATTCTGTAAACAATGGTCTAACCAAATGACAAATGTTACACGATTAGTTCGACAATTTTGTGAACCTTTTTTTGTTGGAATTGTGTACCTCAGTAGTACTCCCATTTAAATATGAAGAAAATACGCCACCAAAAAAGCTTAAAAAAATGCAGTTTAATTGAGAACCTTTTGAAGTTGGTTAAAAACTACTGCGTGATTTTAACAAGTTATAATGAAGTTATCAGTAGGGTTGGCACGACAGGGCGCGACTTGCGCGTGAGAGAATAGCAGTATCTCGTGCGTTATGTCGTTCTCGCGCAAGTCGTGCCCTGTCACGCTAGCCCACTGCTGTGTATGCATTTCATAACAAAGAACTTAAAATTTCAGCACCGGTGTAACCCCAAATACATTCATGTCATTCCTCGAGAACAACCCTGTCCAAGTAAAGGACAAGATTCTCTGTCGCACAGTCAGCCCGATATGTGGTAAAGACAAGTACCGCTCTATTGACGGCACTTGCAACAACTTGCAACACCCTAATTGGGGAAGGCGAGATGCTCCGTTTACAAGAATCGCTACACCACGATATGCGGACGGTAACAAAAAGTTTTAATTTTTTTTCTAAATCTTTGTGTGTGTACTGCATCCGCTTTGAATTCGTTCCGATTCCGATAATACATAGGTACATCTAGAAAAGTCGGCCCCACTTCGGATGTCAATTGTGCACTAAGTCCTATTTGAATCCGAAAAAATATGAATATCGCTTGTACATCTAAAGATAAAAATGATCTCTGTGATATCTCGGACCATCTTTTCTCGGATTCGGAACTGGGGGTCTATTCTCGATCTCCGTCCGAAACAATTACCGCCAAATAAGCAATACTTGACCAAATGAAAAGACGCGTGATGCGAATGAAGCTTCATACTTGATACTTGTCTTTTAATTTTGTCGAATATTACTTATTTCAATGTAATTGTTTCGGACGGATGTCGGTCGGAGATCGAGAGTAGACCCCCTGGTACGAATCGGGCGTATATTATTGCGCAAACGTTCTTACGATCAATACGAATGATGTCAGATAAGGGATCATAATGACTAACTTTATTGGCCCCTTTATTGCTTCATGTCCCATTTTCTTCTTTTTGACGAGCTCGGTTTCCTAACGGTATGTACTGTGGACGCTAGATGGAGGATGCGGGTTCGATACCCGGTAGGTCCAATTTGAAAAATGAACTTTTCTAAATTGGTTCTGTTCTGGGTATTCTTATTTAAATTCCGCTGTTCTGGTTTTCAAGTTACAGACAATTCTCTACTTTGACACCTGGTGATTAGTGTGACTGTCAATTTATTCTTATTTCCGTTTACACATTTCATATTTTCAGCTGTACGTAACTCCTGTTAAACTCTTTCAAAAGTGTTCGCAGTTATTTTTGGACGAATTTATCAAATCTACTGCAGACTTGTTGACTATTCATTCTGGACGTTATATTATATTATTCAATGTCTTTCTGAAACAAGTATTTATTATAGGCATCTACGCTATGCCAGTAGCAACAAGTGGTCGTCCGCTCCCGAACCCTCGCGTGCTGTCCACCCGTCTGTTCTCCGACCAGCCTTTACCCAGCCGAACTTTAACCTACATGAACATGCAGTGGGGCCAGTTCGTCACACATGACATGGTCTATCAAGTCATGGAAACCACTGGTAAATATTAAGTATATATTATAACTAAGTGTTCATCATTTTACAGGGCACTGCATGATATGTCGGCAGAATATCTGCCATACTCCCAAAATCAGCAAATAAATAGGTTTACAAAGAGATACGTAAGAATTAGCACTGTATAGAAATATATTCATCTTCTTCTTTTTTAAGAGCTAGGCTCTTGTTGGTGGAGTAATCGCCAACGATGTCTGTTCAACACACCAACTTTTATTTCCTGATACGATAGGATATTAACTTTTTCCCTTATCAGATATAAATAACTTCGTATCGGCCTTCCTCTGCCTCTTTTTCCTTTGGTCTGAAAGGGTGTTCATGATGCTGCTAAGAAAACTGTCGTTATGTATCAGATGCCCAAACATCTAATAACGTTAATAAGTTTCTCTTTTTCTGCACTATTCTTAACACATCCTCATTGGTTGTTCTTTCTATGCAACTGATTCCCTTCATTCTTCACCAAAAGCAAATCTCATTTGTCCTTTATCATTTTCTGTCTCTCTGTGTCATTGTCTATCTACTTCATAGAAACAATATAAAAATTCGTTTATTAGGTGTTGCATACCTGCACCTTACGCCAACGTCGATTGTCAACCTCGTAACAAAGGTGATTGCTTGTTACGTCTGTTTATATATAAATATAATATATATATAAATATAAACAATATATAGTGACAATTTTTGTTGTTGTTTATTGACAATCGACGTCGGCCTTTATTTTTGTTCTATTAAGTAATTAAATACTCAAATGTTAACTAGACGAAGGCGCAATCCAATGCTGTTTGGGCGATGGTACAGACGTCCTACCCTCCGAATGGCAGAATGACAAATGCATCCCAATCTGTGTGCAAGATGACGATCCATTCTACAGATACTACGGCATACGATGTCTTAACTTCGTCAGGAGCGTCACTACGCCTAGAGATGACTGTACATTGGGATATGCGGAGCAGGTAATGAAGTACTCTAAATACTATTTTATGTAGTTTTGAGCCGGATTTATGTTTATTTGATGTGTCGTAGCGTGATGTGCTCTGCCGTTATTGGAAATATAAAATATTTTCAATATTTTCCCATGAATCGTTCGATTTTGATTCAGATGATGAAGAAGACATGCAATATTGAGTGTGTGCGTTATTATTATTAATTTATGACGCTGGCAACTGTTCTAAAAATAAGAAAATATTGGGTTCAAAAGAAGTCAAAGGCGAGTTTTTGTATATCGTTAAAGAGCTTTAGAGTGATTCTGAAAGCATCAAATATGTTAGATTGTCTAGTCTCTGATGCGTGACAACACAGAACAGGCGCATGCATAACATAGGCTGGTTTCAGAGCAGTGCACCGGATCAGAGTAACACTTGTGGCAATAGAACATCGTTTTACAATGACGCGGATTGCTCTGTACGGATCACGCTCCGCGTGAACTCCGCACAAGCCACTTGTGCGTTCGTTGTAGGCGACTGTCTTTCGTGAATATCCGCACTAAGTTAAATACTCGATTCAGAGCACTGCGGAATCTACAGTGTACAATCCATACAGGCACAGCTGTGAAATCAGCCATATAAATGTATAAGGCCAATACCGTTTTGACACGTTACGACACGACATGTCAGACAAATATAAGTCCGGCTTTATTGTTGTAGATTTTATTGTTACATGAATATGATTTGATTGATATACTCCCATGCGATAAATTAAAGTCCATTGCTATTAACCTTGTTATCTACCTCAAGTTATTCCCAAAGGGTGGATAGCGGTTGTCTTAGATACAGGCCGTGAGCCAAATTTACTCGTACACATCACTCTCTCACAATCAACGTTTGTACAGTACTTTTAATACGTTTCTTGTTGGGAGAAATATAAAGTTTTATTATTATTATTATTTATTGTTATATTTTCACCTCTTAGTCCCTTTTTCCAGACCGAGGTATATAGGTATAGACAAGGTCTTATAATTATATCTATTGAATTCGTGCGAAATAAAGCGCTGAAATATAGTAACAACGCAACATGCAAGACTGAACACAATTTTTTTCGATTATCGGTATTAAAAGCTTAATTGTCTATATTGTAAATTGTACCTTACTTGTATGCATTTTTGAGTTCAAACTTACTTTCTCCATAGATGAACACAGTGACCAATTACTTGGACGGATCTCAAGTATACGGTAGCGAAAAGAAGTTGGCGAGCAAGATTCGCAGTAAACGTGGAGGAAAGCTTATAGAGGAGAAGAGGGGCGGATGTAAGAGAGGTTTTCCGCCGTCTGTAAAAGATAAGACAGCTGTTTGCGATTTGAGGAATATGTCTGACCCTTGCTATATGGCAGGTAAATCATTTGTGAACTTTTTTTCTTCAATGCAATCCTAAACTAAGATCTCTCCCCTGTTGTTCAACCTCCATGGATGACCAGTAGACTGACTGGCTACAAAGACATACTCATTAGACTAACAGAAATTCAATCTTAGACCACACTTAGACCGACTGTCTTTCGCACAAAAGACGACGGGGGCAGTTTTGACCAAACCGTTCACTGGACAGCATCAGGAGACGATTTTCTACCATACATGCGTGCTCACCAAAATAATGCCAATTCACTCTCGCTTTAAAAAGGTTCAAATTATCTATACCTTTCAAGGATTTAGTCTGCAGGCAGAGAATTTCCATTTGATAACCGTTTGCCATATAAATTTGGAAGCTTACTTGTTTTAGTAGAGTTTTTATTTATTAGTATGCAGTTGATTTGACTTTGATGCAAGAGAAGGACCATGTAGAACAGAACATGATCCGAAATAATGTAAATATATAGTTTAAGGCACTAATTACAGAAAACTTGTCAGAATTTAGTTAGAAAACTATCACTACACGCACCCTACCTACGGTGTGCCAAAAGCGAGCTTGTGAGCATATTCTATCAATAAGAGACTCGTTACCAACGATTCTCTTATCGTGTTAAAGGTACAATAAATCTCGAGCAGAAAAGTGGCATGCTTGTCGGTTTTCAATTTAGTTTCACCTTCAGTATTCCTCCTTTGGTCGAGAAGAAAATCCGGCACATTCCAACTTTATGTCGTTGATATATCACCCATTAGCACTAAGCTCTTTGCTTCCTTCTTCCTAATGAGTACGACAAAAGACTGGAATACGCTACCAGTTTCTCTGTATCACAAAAAAAGGTAGGTACCTACAATTTTAGGCTTTTTCAAGGTTAGAGAGAACAGGCGTTTTTTAAACAAATGCTCACATCATCGCCAATATCAGGAAATATTGTGACCAAACTTGTGTATAACAAAATTTTCTGTTAGGAGATGCAAGAATAAACCAGACTCCAGGACTCGCCCTATTGCACACCCTAATGCTTCGTGAACACAACCGCGTAGCTGATATTCTAAGTGGCTTAAATCCCTTATGGAATGATGAGAAGTTATATCAGGAAGCGAGGAGAATCGTTGTAGCTGAATTGCAACATATAACTTATCAGGAATGGCTACCTTTGAACTTTGGTGAGAACTTAAATACTCTAAATCATTTATGTATATTATACTAACTGTATCTGGTATGCGTTGTAGTGCCACTGTAAAGAAAAACTGTTTGTCTTTTTGCTCAGTAAAAGATGATCTTAATCGTCTATTTAGTGGAGACAGCCCAGAAGATTTGTTTATGTCGGTAACTCTTGCAGGCGTGAGCATAACAACTCACAAATGTTTTATCACAATCGGATGAATAATAACGGTAGGAAATGAAACGATTTTTTCGGATCTAAATAATTAAGAACCCAATACGTTGGTTTGTTTGAAAAACTAATCGAATCGCCCTCTTCCAGGAGAAAACTACCTCCGTTACTACCGCATCTCCCCATCAACCCTATACAGTTACGACTATAGCGACGATGTTAATCCTGGCATCATCAACAGCTTTGGCGCTGCGGCCTTCAGGTTCCTGCATTCAATCATACCAGACGCAGTCATGACCTGTCCAGGGGATTATAGAACCGCGCAGATGTATAAGTATGATTTTCTTTTATGATATCAAGTGACGGGATGAACGAGTCGTGAATCGTGATCCTGCTGAAAAGCGACACGTCTACCCGTAACAGTTGCAGTGCCACTCATAGTTTTAAATTGTAACAATCTGAGGGACACTGCCATTGCACCCGTCAACATGAGATATAAAATTGGCAAGTCCCATGTGTCCGTAATTTGACCAACACCCTTAGGTACCCTTCAAAATCGGAACCCAGTAAGGTAATTCTTACATTACTGCTTGACGGCAGATTGTATTTTTCACAAGAAGCTCTACTACTACTACTAAAAGTTATAAAGATTAAAAATTGACTGAAACGGATGGATTGTGTAGACGTCTTTAGAGGTTCAAATTATAATTCCTAAGGCTGGTTTCACTGTGCGTATGTCCGGACGAACCTTCTTCTACGTTTGCGTAGAATCCGCAGTGCTCTGAATTGAGTCGACTACAATGAACGCACGGGTGGCTTGTGCGGAGTTCACGCGGAGCATGTTCCGTACGGAGCAATCCGTGTCACTGTAAAACAATGTCCTAACGCCACACGTGTTACTCCGCTCCGCAGATAAATCCGCACTGCTCTGAAACCAGCCTAATGTTTTCGTTTCAGGATGAGTGATCACTACTTCAACCCGAGTCTCCTGGAAGTGACACCAACATCTTTCGATGATTTAGTTCGAGGTATCGTAGCTCAGAGCTCAGCTGAGTCCGATCCCTTCTGCACGGGAGAGATCACTAATTTGTTGTTCAAATCGTGTAACAAATGGGGGATGGATTTGATCGCCATGGACATACAACGCGGAAGAGATCATGGATTGGCTGGGTATAATGAGTACAGGTAAAAACTACTGTTCTGTTACGGTTATTTAAGGAAAACTCTTTAGACTTTATTATACTATATTATTGAGCTTTTTTAGACTTTTTTCACTTAAACTGTCGGTACCGTGCCGGACTGCCACGTACAGCTCCCAGGTTCGATTCCCGGGCCGGGAGAAATGTTTGTATGGCCTACATTTATTTTTCTCGTGAGTTTGGGTGTAATTAGTAGTTGTCTATGTGTGTGTCCATGGCACCCACGACACAGGGTTTCCCTAGTGCGGGACTATGTTGAGTGTGTGCGTATTTGCGTTATTATTTAATCTTTACCTAGTCGCTATATTGTTGAAAATTCAATACGATTATTGCAAGTTGAGACGTCTTATATTTAATTTTATTCAACATGCCGCCATCTTGCGGCCAGTAGCTGGACTACGACGAACGATTAACATCTGCACATGATCTATGATCTGCACGAATAGATAATCAGAAAATTGAAAATTTATTAAAATAAAACTTACCGATGTTTTGAAATACTACTACGGGTGATATTTTTGGTGCAGCTATCATTTTTGCACTCCAAAACATTTTTATACGATTTTAGAGAATTTGCGCGAAATAATGACACAACCATACCATACAAAGCAAAAATGGCAAAATGGAACGAGTCAGACGCTAAATAACCACTTGTACTGTGTTTATTGTTCTGTGGGTTCGACATTATATCTTGTCAGTTTCTCATATAATCAAAGCGAAGAATAGTTGGCAACATATTGGTGCAGACGACAAGCGCAATAAGCGAAATCTTTTTAAATTAAACGTCATCATCACCTTGAAAATGGTCATGAAATCAAATAACAATTATCTTTAAGCGGCCGCCTGTTAACTAGCGATGGTCTTGACCTCATTTTAAGACATACTGACACAAGCTTTTTTATCCCTGACGTAAGATTATTTATCATATTACACCATGCACCACAATTGTTGTTTCTGGGTCATCAATATTATTTTCTAATTGGTTCTGTCAAAAATCACGAAAAAACTTTATTTTTCCGCAAAAAGTTTCTGTTTCTCTTTATTTAAAGGCAAAAGTGAACATTATATTCCAAATTAATAGTATATTTCTACTAATATTCTACAATTTGATGACAAAGAACTGTCTCCGTGGTCGAAAGGTTACAACGCCGGTCCGCCATGCAGAGGTCTCGGGTTCCCGGGTTGGGAGAAATATTTGTATGGCCTACATTTAATTCTCTCGTGAGTTTGGGTGTAATTTGTGGCTGCTCAATCAAACAATCTTTTTTGAAAATTTGTTACATTGTATAAGATCATTGGTTATTAATGTTATTCCCAGGGAAATTTGCGGACTGACAAGAGCAAAGACTTTCCAAGATTTCGCGGGAGAAATGTCTCAAGATGTAAGTTGGGTTTCTTAATTATTGATACAAAGATCGAACAAACATAAAGTATAATACAAACAAAGATCCCCGACAAACACATAAGAAATTCGTAAGATCTGCTGGCACGATCCGTAGCTCAGCAGATAAGAGCGATGCCACACGGGCGTTGCATCGACACAACGCTTTGATTTCAACGTAGGTACTAAGAGCGATGCCACACGATGTGTTGTATCGGGCCATGTGACGCCTGAATGGTGACCCTGAATTGTACTGCTAATAATATATAAATTAGATAAATGAGATGAATATAAATAAATAAATTAGAACTACATGCCATAACGTCGCCTTACTTTCTCACACTCGTATCTTAAAGCATAAAGTTATTGAAATGCAAAAATATATTGTATATACAAATTTTGCAGGCTGATTTCACATCACATTTCTTTCATATTCACACAATGGCTTTTACCTATTCTTAAAGTAATGTATCCAAATTAACACCCTTGATAAGAAATTTAAAATAAATAGAAAGTATTGCCATCTCCTGAATAATCACTCTTTATAAGATACGAGTTTGAGAAAGAAGGCATCGATAAGGTGCTTTGAAACGACGCGTTCTTGTTGAAATCATAGCGTTGCTACGATGCAACACACCGGCAGCATCCGTGTGGCATCGCTCTAAGAGCGGCTGAGCTGTATTGAGGTAACAGACGCCGATTCAAGTCGAATCGGATCTAGGGAATTTTCTGTGTTTCTGCGACCACTATCAATATCAAGATCAATAATAATAACAAACTAGTGGTAGTATTGTAATTTTTAAGTTTTTTAAGTTTGACCACCACGATATTCAATTTTTTTTGTGAAACTACTCCACTAGTTTGTTATAATTATTAATACAAAGATCGAACACTTAGAAGAAATTCCTTTGATCCGACCGTATTCCACGAAACGAACTAGCCGAGGTTACGAATTTTTCTAAGTGCTTGTTGCAGATCTTTGTTAGTGACATATGACGGTATACGATATTTATGCAATTTCAGCGAATTAACGCCCTAGCCATACTATATGAATCTGTAGACGACGTAGACCTGTTCGTCGGTGGCGCCATGGAGCAGGATGTGCCTGGCTCGATTCTTGGTCACACGTTCCAGTGCATCGTGGCTGAGCAGTTCTACCGAACGAGGGTTGGCGATCGCTTCTTCTATGACAACAGTGAAATGCCGCATTCGTTTACGTCGGGTTAGTTACCACCACATATAATTATTATCTTTAAGAGTCTATATACAACCTGAAATGGCTTTGGTTGATTCCGCATTACAGCGAAAGTGTTGAATTTGGAAAAAAGATATAGTAAAATTGAGGACCATTATATACTGACTACTATAAGGTGTGAAAACACGATTCCTATACTCTAGCCAAATTCGATGTAGAATAAACGTCAACAAACAAGAACATATGATTTTTAGGGTTTCCATCTCAGACTCTTTCACAGTTACCATAATTTCAAAATTCTCCTACGAAATTCGACTAGATTATGGATGATACTAAATCTTGATGCCATGTTTATAATGAATATTATTCAACAGAAGTTTCAAATCACTAAAAATGATATAAAAATGAGTAGTAATTAATTATTTGTAAAACTGTGTCATCCCTAGTAACTTTTTGATTTGAAGGTAGAGATTGCAAACATTCGAGTTCTGGTGGTAATTCAAGTTCAAAATCGGAAATAGATGCTGGATGATATAAAATGTAGTAAATTAATATCAAATAAATTCTTAAAACCATATAGCAGTAAATATTAATGGGATGCAAACACTTATTTTTATTCCTAAATATATTATTTAGGAGGTATCAATATGTATTTTGTAAGCTTTATAATAATTAGCTAAGTAAGTATTACTTCTACGTAACCTAATTACCTACTTACCTATTTAAATTCAAATTAAGGGAGCAGATCGTGGGCAGAGCAAGCCTTAATAATGAACATTGAAAAAAATCCCTAAGCCATCATTGGTTGCGTAGCAACGTTTTGTTATTAAACATTCTACATCAAATTTGGCTAGAGTATAAAAATTTTCACGATAGAAAAAAAAAACACAAACTCAATACGTACAGGTATATATAGAACACGTACAGGTACTGCACGATATACATTTTTCAAATGCCTTTAATATCGTTTGTAAGAAAATAAATTTTGAAATAAAGCCAGTGTTTCTGGCGCTCGACCCAAGCAAAATGAATCGTATTAGTGCGGGAAAAATTTGAATTCGAACTGAGGTAGTCAACTCTTAACTACTATCTCAGAGTCCAAAGTTTCAAATTTCCAAAAAAGTCCCTTGCGTGGATTTGCTATTATCTTTCCTGCTCAATATTGCCATTTCATCCACCCTTACATTATTTGACAAGTTTTCCAGTAATCAGTAGAAATCTTAGTTTAAACGGTAACACTGTCCACAGTCTCACACATGATTACTAGAAAAGGAAGTTTAAATGGCAACACTGAACAGAAAATAAAATATAGATTTATGATAGGGTAGGGTTTTACATTGTTTATGTATACTTTTTTCTTAAAACAATAAAATAAATAAATAATAAAATGAAAGCTGCCAGGACGTTTTTCACTAACCCATAAATTATAAAACGTCCTACGTGTCCAACGAATATTGAATAATTAATAATAAGAAAACTTGACTCATATGTGCAATTAATTTTTATTAACAATAACAATGATAATATCTGACAATAATAACGCACACATTCATAACCCGCACTAGGTAATCCCTGTATTGCGGGCGCCATCTTCCATGGACACACATAGACAACCACAAATCACACTCATGAGAGAAATAAATAGGAAACACAAATATTTCTCCCGGCCCGGGAATTGAACCTGGGACCTCTGCGTGGCATACTTCGGCCACGGAGGCAGTTATTATTTTATGCTTTCTTTGTCTTGTTTTTTTCAATTATTATTTGAGCACTTCTTTTTTGTCTGGGGCGTATTTTACAAATGAATATTAGCTTAATTTCAAATATAATATATGTTCAAAATATAAAGATATATTGTTTTTCTATATCTTCTTGATGTGTAGATATGCCTTAGACTGAGTTTATATATTTTGTGTTACTAATTTTTGTTCAAAGCAAAACTTCTTAAACTACATTATTAATTTACTTAATTTAAATGCTAACTACAACAGTGTTCACTATATTAATCACCGTACTGTTTTCTTCCACTCGAAAAATTACATTCACAAATACTACCACATACTTGATGTACTCTCTAAATATTTTAGGATGCAATCAGTGTGTAGGAGTTGTTATATGCAATAACCGGTTTTAAGATATAGAACCTATCTAAAGACACATTTTATGGTCACCAAGGAATACTTCAGGTTCAGTAGATAATAACTGAAGGGTGGGTATTTTTTTCATCATGCATTTTCTTACAGACCAACTGCAAGAGATAAAGAAAGCATCAATAGCGCGTCTGATATGCGACAACACCGACGGGGTGGAGTATGTACAACGTCGAGCGTTCGAGATGGAGTCGTCTTACAACCCAAAATATAGTTGTGCTGATTATACATCTATACCCAAAGTGGATCTTATGCCTTGGAAGGAGCGATGAGAAATGAAAATATCACACAATAAAGAATTATGTAATAAGTAGTGAAGTTATCCTTGATTACCTTGATATTAAATAATATTTTTTTATTAACGTTTATTTTTTTATATAATATAATAATATTAATTATAATGTGTAATAATAATCATAAGAGCGTATTCACACGTAAACGCGCGTCATCAGCGAGTATACGCGCCACAGAAGCGTTGTAATCGCGGATTTTGGCAAGAGATAGTTTTAATTTTAGTTTTGTTTGTTAATTTCAGTTAGATTTTGAAATGAAGCAACTACATTAAATTCTAAGAGTAAACTCCAGTGGAGCTTCTTGCTTGCAAAGCGATGTTTGCGCGCGTTTGAATAACATTTTATTAAATTTGACTAACTTCTGCTGTCTCGATTTTCTTCGTCCCTTACAATAAAATGATCCCTTCATACCTCTGAGTCGATCAGCACTAAAAAAAGATTTTGATCAATTTTATTTGTTTCTGACCAAAAAATTGAGTATGCCAAAATTGTTTTCCCAAAAAAGACGACTTTATGGTTCCTAAGATAGTTTCGTTGTATCTTCTATGGTTTCGGATTTCCTCATACTGTCCCGTTTTAAAAAAAACTCTGTATTTTAATAAAATAAATTACCGATTACATAATGTTGTCCTTTTTTGTCAGTGATCGATATAAGAAATCATTTCCTACGTGGGTTTGTAATGATGATTTTTCTTATCAGAGTACAAAGATTTTTTTTGATAAACACCTCGTCTGTGTTGTCAATGTAGCGTAGTGTCCGAGTAAAATAATGTCGAAGTAACATATTGTCGGAGTCGCGTGTGTCGAAGTTCAGTTTTAGAGTCCAATTACATAGCCCTTGCTGTTATTTTGCCGTGGACCGTCATAAATTGGAATACCAGCAGCGGGCTCTTGAATTGGAAGTAGGCTCTTATTACACAACCTCTACATTTGATACACACCATACTGCCAGCCAACCGGCTGAGAAAAAGAAAGCTAAACCAGATAATAATAATGTGCTTGGCAACCACATCAATTATCTGGTCACAAGCTAGGGACTTCCCTGGCCTGAGGACCAGAGCAACGAAATTCACGTCGGAGCACTACCAAGAACAGAACCAATTTTCAGACAATTTCATTTCCAAATTTAATCTTATCTGGACCTTCTCGTCCAGTCCAGCACTCAGTGTAAATCGTCAGCCACTGATGTCGATGATGTAATTTAAATTTGAATCCCATATAAACACTACCAACTGTTTTTTGGACATTATACTTTAATGTAAATCTTCGTATGCTCTATGTTAAGTTGTCAAGCGGAGAAATGTGATGGATCGAAGACTTAGCTTATCCTACAGAATTATATTTTAGTAGCAGTAGAGCTCCTTACATATTTCTGCCGCGAAGCAGTAATGTGAGCATTACTGCGTTTCGGTTTTGAAGGGTAAGGGTGCTGGTGAAATTACGGGCACATAGGACTTGTCAACTTATGTCTTAGAGTGACGGGCGCAGTGGGAGTGACCCTCAGTTCTTTGCAATATAAAGCTGTGAATAGCACTGCAACTGTTATGGACAGGCGTGTCGCTTACCACCAGGTGCACCACTTATTCGTCCCGCCACTTAGTATCATAATAAAAATGGGAAGCAGATCATACGTTAATAAAACTACGTGATCACTTCGATGCACGCCATGTGCAGCTTTTCTTCTTTGAAAAAATAAATATTAAAATTAAATATCGTCGCCTTACTTTCTCAAACTCGTATCCTAAAGCACAAAGGTACTGAAGAGCAAAAAATGGATTGTGTATACAAATTTTGCGGACTGATTTCACATGACATTTCCTTCATATTCACATACTGGCTTTTACCTGTTCTTAAAGTAACGCATCCAAATTAACATCCTTGATAAGAATATTTAAAGTAAATAGAAACTTTTGCAATCTCCTGAGTAATCACTGTTTATAAGATACGAGTTTCAGAAAATAAGGCATCGACATTCCACCTGCCGATATGGACCTCCAAATTTTAGTGGATTTTTTAATAAGCCAGACACAGCCATTGACTTACAAATAAATGGACGACGGGTCTAATACAAAAACTACGAAAAAAATGTCCCAAGTCAACCTATTTAAACGTAGTGACATGTAAAGGAATATGAAAAAGCTAAAACGTTGAATTTAAATTGTAATGTCATCGCAGTACTGTCTAATTTTGCTTGCTTCGCTGTCAGTCGAACAAACGAAGACTAGAGCGTGAATGACGCTCTGTATACGATTTTAACGCCCTCTAAGTTCGGACACTTTTTAGCGCGGACCCGACGTCCATATAATTGTAAGTCAATGGGCACAGCATTAAAAATATGACACCTGGCATGCATTTTAAGTTTGACTTTGGTGCGTCGTTGTACCAACACAAGTGAAAAAAGAAATCGACAATACGGTTTGTTCCTGGAAGGAAAAGGAAACTGTAATATGTATACGTATGTGTGGTAAGGTAAGTCTGTGGCTTACCGTATCTATACAAAACCACCAAACTTCGCCAAGATTTGGCTGTTTGGTGTTAAATCTTCCATTTTCTTTTAACGGAAACAATTTAAAAAATATACAGATTAATGGTTTAACACAAGTGTATGTTCGATCATAATTTTTAACCGCTGTAAATTGTCACATAATCGTGTAGGTACTATCTTTCTTAATAAATTATTGTTACTAAATAAACACTTTGTTATATTGCAAAAACTTTATTAAAAAAGACTTATAATGATAATATAGACTAATAACGTTTGTACGGCAATAAATGCAATACTATAAACATGGTCCCCTTTATAGAACCGTAATATATATTGAGAGATTAAACGAACTTACTTATTAGTGAAGTTCTATTCTAATTATAACATGACGGCTTCACCCGGACACTGTTTTTTCCCCATAGTAACTTTTGCAGGGTTGCATTTTTCATAAAATTTTAAATAGTCATGTAGTGATTGTCGGCAGTTTTATCGATATATTGTAAAAGATCAAATTCTGCAGAAAGGTATAAAAAGCGAATGTTATGGCGCTGATGATTAATAACTGCATTATCGCTTTGTTTGTTTTTATTTTGACAGTTATGTATGATTGGTATTGAAATCAATTTGTGAAGTTAAGAGGCACAATTTTATTCTTCCAAAGTGACACCTATTTTTTACAAAAACGGTTATTTTGTTTTATGATTGTTAATTTATATTGAAATGAAACAATGCCGGCTGTTAATTGCGCAAGCGGAACCAACATTCAATCGATAGTCGAAAGAAAATTTATCATTACTAGCCGTTTGTATGACGGCAATCCTTTTGCGCATTGTACTTACTGTCATTGTATGTATTTCCAATGTATATTTTAAGGACGAAGCATAAAGCACAATTTGGTTGGAATGGTAACCACAACCTGAGGTAAAAGTATTATACTAACTAAAGATACATTCTAAAAAGTAAGAAAATAAATTCGTTCTCAGTTTACAATTCATTAAGGATTCGATACCTCAATGAGATGACATGGCATTTAACACTGTCATAACCAATTAATTTGGCACACTTATACACTAGAATATGGTTTACAGAATTTAAAAACATATTAATGAATATAAACAGCAATAATGCTGTCTGAAACCTTAACAATATGTTTCAAATATTTTTGTTTATATATTATAATCAATAAAGAAAATTTTAGTTTAGTGGAGTAACATACAATTGCAAGAAAAACAATATATACAAAAGTAATATCAAACGTTCCAATGGTCATGACATGACCAATATATTTAGGTCTATTATCTATCAAAGAGAAGAATAGAAAAGTATTTGCATACGTAATTTCTCCTTTATTATAACAAGTACATTTCATCAAACTAGTAACACAAATCAATGCAGGAGATTGTAGTCTATGTTTGTTTAAATGGAGCAAAATGACATTTGCAGGGTTGCCAGTTTTCGTAAAATTTCAAATAGTTATTTGGTTGTTGTCGACAGTTTTATCGATAGATTGTGCAAGTAGGTAAAATGCTGCTAAAACTGATACGACGTTCTAATGATTACTAATTGCGTTATTGCATTTTTTATTCTTATTTTGACAATTGGCCTATTAGTAACGAAATGAATTTTTAATCCTACATATTTCAATAACGACTATATATTAAATTAAAATAAAAAACTTTAAAATATGTCTCATATTTCTATTTTAATACACATAGTTCTAAGTATAGTGTATGTAGTATGAATTTTCAAAAATTCACAATTCAAATGAACCAGGCCTAGCAGTTGCACGAATAATGTACCGATGGTGATTCAAATGAAACAAGTTCGATTATTTGTTGCGTAAGCATAACCGACATCAGTCGATAGTCGATGTAATATTTATCGACTGCAATCACTAGCTCCTTGCAAGCGGGAAAAAACTTTTACGCAATGAACTGTCATTTTACTCCATCTTAAAAAAGACAAACTATAAACGAATAGGATATCTGACAAGAAATGTACAATACTGCCCTTTTAAATCATTGTTTCTGCTAATTATCACTCAAACGTGTCAGTGCAAACACTGTTTTGCAAAAACACTGTTTCTACAAAATAATTACTAAAAGTTCGACAGATAATAAGTGGAAACAGTGTGTTACAAGTGGCAGCATTCAACCTGAAAAACAATATTAACGTTAACTAGTTCTTACGCGAATAGAGTGCAGTTGAGCCATTAATGTTATAGATCTTCAGGGTCACGTCTTTCATTTTCATTGAAGGAAATATTTGAAACTTCAACATATTATATTAATGACATACCTTTTACAATTCTCACAAATCATATCAACAGATTTCTATTATCTCTCTTTTCCCTTCCAAGCATGGATGTTACCTTATTATGTACACTATTCCACGTTACAGATGTATGTACGAGTTGGGAGAGGCCGCCGGGACCAGGCTTGACCAGTCTCTCGAAAAATGGCCGTTTGTAGAGACGCTGGGCCTCTGATCGTTGGTCTTCTGTAACCTTACGATCGTCTAGGTGGTGGAGTGACGGGAATTGGGATACTACGAAGAGTCTGAAATAATGAAGTATTGAAATAGTTAAAAATTCAAAAATATTTGAATCCATCCATCTCGAGTGCAGGATCGACGTTAAGAATGTAATGTAATAACCTTTAACCGATTTCCATAAAACTTGGCAAATAAATGTAACGTGTAAAAATTGAAAAAACAAATATACGCGATTTAAATCCGGAAAAATAGTTTCATTTCCTAAATAAATGTAATTTCATAAACTTCAGAGGTCAATTTTGTTATATATAAAGTTGATGTTTATTTTGTCACTACTGACAGTCGAGTGAAAGGGGAAGATTTGACAATTTTTATTTATTAAATTTTTATTGAATTGATATTCAATTATTTTTTGTGAAATGACTCCACTAGTTTGTTATAATTATTAATATAATTATTATTAATGGTATGCAAGAAGACGTCGGTTCGAATCCGACCGGATCGAAGGAATTTTTTCTGAGTGTTTTTTCTGAGTGTTCGATCTTTGTATTAATAATTATAACAAATTTTTATTTACTTAATTTGTTCTAAATCCACACGACGTAATTATAAATAAACAGTGTGCCACAACTGCCTGGTCTTAAACTAATCTTAAACTAGAAAATTTTGTGTAGTATATATCGGAGCAGCGAGCATATTATTATAACCAGAAATAGAGACGAAATGTTATTCATTTTGTTTGAAAACTATTCTGCTAAATGACTACGATTACAACTGCGTTCCGATTGGCCAGCCCGAATTATATATACAATATACACATACATACACACACGCACGCACGCACGCGCTCATACACACACACACGAACACGTTTAAGGTCAAACGACATTTAATATGCACAAACTAGATGCCTAAAAATACAGGTACGGTAAAAACAGATTTCTTAGAAAAAGACAAAATTCTTTTTATGAAGACAAATTTATTAAATCCAACAAAACGATCCTCTCCCTATAGACGCTAGAGAATAATTACTTGATAATAGTAAAAAAACGTCTCAAAAGTGTATTTTAGTTACAAGACAGAAATATTTAATCCAAGAGCAAATTAATTTACTTCAAGTCACAAAGCCACTCTAGATTCAACAAAATATTTATTTGTTATTAGAAATGTCTGATTTTGATTTGAAAAAAAAAAGAAAAATTGAGAGGTACTTAATTATTTGACTGAAGATTTATGTTTTCCAATATCAAAAAGGGTAAATTTACAGGGTTATGGACCCAACAGTGTGTCTCATTAGCGTGAAAGCACACAGTTCAGTGCCAAATCTTAAAGTAGCAGAAATAGGACGGCATTTTGTCAAACACTTGAGGACCATTCAGTTCCGTATAAGTGCTACAGCGGCAGAAAGCACTTACAATTCCCAATATATGAGATGACTTTATACTATCGAAGTTAACAAAACGATAGCGCGTTTCAGAGTACAACTAATGCCATCTAGCAGTGGTGTGATGGAACTAGTTGCATGTTAAAGTTGTGCTTGTTACATAAGTGTAGTTTGATTTCATGCTGTAGCCAAATTTCTTAAATTATGACTATAAATAACACCCTAACAAACTAGAGATACTACGTATTGTTTCTTTGGATAAATGACTGTTTATGGTTTTTATGATTACAAGCACAAGTAAAAGTAAAAGTAAAGCTTCATTTTTATTGTTTATCTACCTTTACATATGTTTCACTTGTAGATTTAGTTTGAAATTAAGTTATGAAATAATTTATCTTTCTCTTTAATATTGTAACAAAAACTTGATTTGAAAATTAAATAAAAAAGTCTCTATTTCTGTTATATACTTGATGTATCAGAGTAACGTGATTCACTGTCTGTCCAGAACAGTAAACTAGAGAAATTTAAAAAAGTTCATTTCTCAAATTGGTCCTATCGAGAATTCGGTTCCGTTGGGCCACCGAGGTCATCATTAATTAATCATTAATTAATCTTCATACTTATAATATTAGAAAGATCTATTTTTTTACACTCATAGCCCCGAAGTAAGCTCTGTAAATGATCTGACGAAAGAGGAATCTGACGGACGTGTTCTAAATCGTATCGTGGGAGCCATGGACAAACACATAGACAATCACAAATAACAACTAAACTCACGAGAGAAATAGGCCACGTAGGCCATAGAAATATTTATCCCGGACCAGACCCGAACCCGGGACCTCTGCGTGGCAGATCAGCATGGTAACAGTTAGATAGGTTACTAGAAAAGTTTTTCTGAATGTCATTCCAGAGCAAAATGTATAATACTGAACAGAACTTTAGGATTATGTCTGCGCTCCTATCTTTACTAGACAATAAATAACCAAGATAAAGAGACTGACTCTGCCGATGATTTATATGTTCAATCAAACAAAGTTATCAAATTCAACTGCTCTATGAACCTATTGGAAATATAGTGTGGAACAATACCCAGTGATAAGAAACTATTAACAACTGTTTAGCGTGGAATGCATCAAAATTTTCTAAATAATTATTAATATGAGCTCAGATACGAGACATTTCCGGACTATATTGGCTTAATTAGGTTAATGTCTATTTAGACAACATTTTAATAATATACATCAAATTATGTATATTCAAGAAGAATAGACCGAATGGACCTTACCCAAAACAATGCCAAACAAAAGGTAACTTGTATTTTATTTTAAATGAACGTACTGATGACCACTAGCATGCTCTGGCGCATAGAAGTGGTGTACAAAGGAGAGTTCACCTAAGAAGATACCTATACAAGCACAACTTCAAGAATGCAGGTTGGGAACCCATAAGTTTTCCAAGTGTTGTGAGCTTTCATCGATATGCAGGTTTCGTGACGACTAGGGCTTTCATTTCGGGAATGTCGGTCTCGAAAATTTCAAGAGTCTCGACAATTTTTTGGCATTTCCGAGACTTGATACTTATGTTTTCAGTCTCGGAAATATAGTCTTAAGTCACCTTAGCTTGTATTCTAATTTTCTCCGCATTAATACGCTTCATTTTGTCGAGCGGCACATACACTGGCTTTATTTCAGAATTTATTTTTTTACAAACGAAATTAACGCCATTTGCAAATTGTATATCGTATATTACACGTGGTCTATTTAGTTCAGTTGACATAAAAAAAAACATTGGTATATATGTAAAGTACATTTCGAATACAGCGGTTTTCTTGTAAAAATCATTGGTATATCGCACCTCTCGTGGATGAAGGGCATAAGTGGAGTTACGTCAAAAATGTTTATTGTTCCATTAGATACAGAAAAATAAATAAATCCACATCCTCTATAATTCTTGTAACTATATCTACAATATTAGTCGATAGAGTTACAAGAATTGGAGAGGATGTGGGTTATATGTTTCTGTATATTCTAATGGAGGAATAAACATTTTTGACGTAACTCCACTTATGCCATTCTTCCATGAGGAGTGCGATATGTAAAGTACCTATTGAATACAGGGATTTTCTTGTAAAATTTTGAGGTAAGTTTGTATTTTTCTTCTATCGTGCAAATTTTTAGGAATCGTGTTTTCACACCGTATAGTATAACCTCGATTTTCCTATATATTTTTTCCAAAGCGATTGATTCAACACTTTCACTGTTATGCAGAATCCAACAAAGTCATTTGAAGTTGCATAGACTCTTAGGTCACTTAATTAAAAAGACCTAGATCTCTATGCGAGAATAGCAGTATCTCGCGCTTTATTTCGCTCTCGCGTTAGTCGCGCCCTGCCGTGCTAGCCCTACAATAGTCAACAGTATAGAATGGAGCTCAGTATAATCTGTCGAAATTGAAGAACGGTAGTTAGGGATGGGTAATATAGCTTTTTCTGAATATCGTATCGAAACTATATATCGATATTTGAAATCGGATTTCGAAACTATATATTTTCTGAAACTATATATTCAAGGATACATTGCCGTTACTGATATTCGGAGTCAGATTTCAAAACTATATATTATTGGATATATAGTGTTAAAAGAGCAATGCGGGCCAATATTAGTATATAGTTTCGAAGTCGCACAAAAAATGCTTTCGCGTTGATATCGGTATATAGTTTGAAAATAATCCCTCAGCTTGATTCCGCGTCGCTATAAAATACGCGATGCGGAGCAATATCGATATATAGTTTCTAAGATACACGATATCGGATATTCGATATTGACACAATATATAGATTCAATAACTATATATGATTTGTAACGCCCATTCCTAAACGGTAGTAACAAAATCAGGCCTTCTCTATTAGAAACCGCACTAAACGCCCTTTTGTTTCTTACGTACCAACTATAAAAATGATTGTCTCATTGGTATTACTATCATTAGTGGGTTCAAGACAATTAGCTGACTTGGGACTGATCTTAAAGCTTTTATTTTATTTAAAGGCTAACTTATTCGGGATGGTGCTTAACTACGTTTGAACACCTGTTCAGCTGTGAAAGATTATCAGTTCTCTTTGTTGTCAACGAAGAAATCATAAAATGTTTGTAGAACTACCGTGTTTGAGCTAATTAAATTGGTTATTTATTATTTCCTAAGTTTAAAACGTACATTAAAAATTTTAATTGAAAAGTCATATTATAAAATTGAGGACTACGTGTTAGTAGATAAAGACGACATGGTTCTAGATTCCACACAAATATGATTCAAAGTGTATTATTCCATAGCATTTAAGTTTATTTGAAAAGAGCAATTCCTAAGATTTCTTGCTCATTCTTCTCAAGGTGAACGAGCTACTTGTAAGCTACTACAAGTGCCGTTTTCAAGTGTAAATTTTTTTTTATCTATGGAATAAATGATTATTTGAATTTGACTTTGGAGTACACTGTTTTGTGTTTTTTAAAATTTAATTTATGTTTTATATACTAATCTGACAATATTCTAATTTATGTGTATTGTGGAGAAATAAATGGAGATTTATTTTAATCATTTAATAAATATTTCCTACTGTTAATGATTTACTTTCAAGCAGCAAATAGAAACAAATAAATTACCTATACTGAAGATATTCATAAAAAGTGCCGCCGTTAAGGTAACTCGGAGCTGCAGGATTGCCCATTAAACATAGATGTTGTAGATTTGGACAGGACTCCTTCAGCTTACCGACCCATGGGTAGAGAGAGGCCACTTTGCAATTATTTAACCTGAAAATTGAACATATCTACTTATTTAATATATTGATTGATTGCAATCAATATATTCAATTGAAAAGCCTTTGCAACGTTTCGTATAGAGCATTGCATGTTTTGATCTCATCTTGTTGAGACATGTGCCTGCCCATGAAGGAGCAGCACTGGGTTAGAAGGTGCAGAGGAGTCTCGTCCACATTTCTGCTTCCTCTTATATTCTGAGACAGTATTCATGATCAAAAATGTAAACAAAAGTTGCTGAAAAAATGTTTATGACCTATGAGATGTTACTTTGACAGAGTCAGTTGTTTGTTTATATTGTTGAACTGGAATTCGATTGCCGAGTATAGTTTATTGCTGGAATTATGCTATTTAAGTCACAATTCTAATAGGTACACTTTATATCGCAAATGCGTTGGCAGTCGTGGGAAATCTTAAATCTCCTGTGGGTATGGTGGTATGATATGGCCTGATGGGCTTGTGCCTGCAAACGACTATCTGTTGCAAATATACATTTCCTTCTATGCTTTAACTAATCACCACCTCAACATGAATTAGAAGCATTTCTTACCATAACAGCTTTAGTTGTGGCAAAGGTGGTAGAAAACAATTTTCTGTGATAGGATTTTTGTCTGCAATCAGAGAAGTGAGCTGCTTGAAGTACACTAGCGGATCCAAGTTACTGAAATATTACATAGCATTTTGTTGAGTGTGTCGCTGAACACCCGGCATAACATAAAAAAAGAATGTAGAAATTTTATTTTCCAAGAGAATTTAATTTTGTTATTATAGGACGTCATTGTATTTTTACAATATTTTGGTTTATTTGTAATGAATGGCTGCACTGGCCATGAATGATTTGTAATAAATGCTAATTAAAATTTTTCAAGCTTCCAAGAGTTGTGAACCTTATTTGACATGCAGATTTAATTTGCCTGCTATATTTTTAGAATAATTTAAAAAAATAATTATATTCATTAGTAATTAAGTATCAAAAAAGAGAAGATTTCACTTTAAAAACCTATATCACTAAATTAGGAAGTTATCTTAAATTCATTGTTTAAATCACATTCAAAAAGATAAAAATAAATAATCCATGACTTAATATATTTTTACCAGATACTAGCTATCTTAATAGATAACTGAAGTAACTCACGTAATTTTATTATGGCTGATGTCCAAATATCGAATATGGTCTGAAAATCTTTCCACTATGGTCTTTGGTATTTCGTAAAGTGTCTCATATGCCAGGGTCAGTTTGGTGGACTCATCCTCACTTTCAGCACTGCCATTTGAGGACCTGGGGAACAATTATTTCAGTTGGTAACAATAGTGTCATTCGAAGATGGTACTCATCATGGTTGTATAGGATAGAGTCACAAATTTTACGGCTCACCACCCACTTAGGCAAAATAAAAAAATTTCAACGGCCACCCACAACACCACAAAAAATCATGATGAAAAAAAATTATATGTATGTAGTGTAGTTTATATACATAATTCAGGCTTTCTTTTTACATACGGTAGCACCCCCTAGACAGCATCAGTTCCCCCAATGCTTCCAAAGCCCCCTACGACTCTTCAGTGCCCACAGGGGGCACTAGGGACCACTTTGGGAAACTACGTTGTATACTATGATTTAAACAAACATTTACTTAGTTTAGGCATCACAACTGTAGTACCAGTCCATATGTTTTGCACATTGTGCTTCAGAAAAAGATGATTAACTTAGCTTTATAGAGCATTATCTGTATTACTAATACCTGTGTGAGATTTTGTCACTAATGCAACAGAAGCAGTGTTCTACAAATGTGAAATTTAGATTATTGCCAATAGCTTTTTTTGTAAAGCTCGATGGGTAACATTTATGGCTTGTACGCCATTAGGTTTCAAAGCTTTATTTGTATAGTTTCTTGATAGTATAATAGTTAAGTTTTTAACATTGTTTATTTTTACCAATGTTGGAAATGGAACTACTTTTTGAGATAGAATTCCATGTTTTTGTTTTATGAAACAAACCAACATTTAAGGTCCCTTACAGGTCCCATGGTCACAGCTGACTGTCAACTGTGCCCAATATAGTCTCATTTCTTATTTGTAACAATTGAAAAAAACTTAAGAACTCGATTTTACCAATGCTGTCACAGCTTTCTTCATATTTAGTTTAAGTTATGAAGAAATAAAATTTATCTTAATTATTTATATATATATATATATATTATTATTATCTTAAAGGAAATAATGCATATATTACAGTGTCTCTATAATCAATTACCCAGTTTCTAAGTAAGTAATGCCCTGTACTAGAAAGTATAAAACACAGGCACAAATCTAGCAACTGTCATAAAGGAAACAATAATACTAGAAGTCCAATAGCGGTGAATTTAACTCCGGGGCACTATCCAGAACAGCCAGCCAGCCAGCCAGTCCTACCGGTAATCAAACCCAAGACATACAAATCAAGCATCCATAGCGCAAGAATGGCTTTCTATATTTTTCTATTTTGGTGGCCTGTGTTCATCAGTGAACTTATTGTTGTCAGATTTAGACGACACCAAAGTTAAGATTAAATTAAAATTATTTAAAATAAGAATTTTAATTTAGAAAATCACCAACTCACTGGATAAGTAAATCTGGAGGCACAGGAACATCAGTCATGTTGGTCACAGAGTCCACTAAAAAGTCTCTGGAGATGTCCACGGATATCAATCCGTCGTCAACACTTCCACTGTTAATTAAAAAAACAAAAGAAAAAAACACTTTTTAACACTTGCGAAGATGATAACGTATCTTATCATCTAATTTCTTCCATAAGTATTTTAATTAGGAAGTGTAATTTTTTTATATTTTGTATAATTGTTAGTTTTAGACTTCCATACCTTTTTAAATTAAAATTAGAACGAAGCAATTAATAAAAAAATTTGTACCTATCAACAAAAAAAACAACAAGATCAACAAAACCGAAACAAAACTTGAAAATAGTGTTGCCACATTTTTATCAATTACTTAGATAATATGTAAACACAAAAAAAAAAAATTGAATGAGTACTTTACATCCCGCGATTCACCCACAAGTGTCGCACGAGCAACACTGACTGAAACACTTTAAGCAGGAGAGAAGAATGGCACCGTTCTTCTCTCCCAAGCCTTTTTATTGTTATCGGTATTTGGTAAACGGTAGATTACCAAAAACTTTTGATCTCGACCCGAAATTCTAAACAATACTTACTTGTCCATTATTGAACTTGAAATAGTTGTCATCGAAGTATTATATTAGGTATAGGTATTACTATAGTTACAACGCACTTTGCACTCTAAAATCTGTCGTGTATGTGTCATGAAATGTTATCAGTTGAATTTATGGTAATTTAGATAGAAACCGGTGTTTAGATGATTCGTGCATAAAAATTGAGTCGAATTGGAATGCAATCTAGGAAAATTTTTGGAAGATTCGACTTCAAATGAAATCGAAAATCAAGAGCGTGCTCTCAATATAAAAGAACTTGCACGCAAATTAATATACTGTCTATGTTGTCGTAAGCGTTCGCGTTCAGTTTGCTGTAGCGTACGGCAAAACAATTTTCAACATTTAGTCAAATTTCGTTAAAAATTTTAAAAATAGCAACAATTTTCGTGTTGTCACATTGTGTTTTTTTTTTGTATATTTTGTTACATACTATTTACAAGAGAAAGAGATAGAAAACCTTAATAAACAATCGTCTGTAATGTTGTGGGGTATAAATAAATAATACATACATGATTATGTATAAAATAATGGGTTCCCCTCTTATTCCATTGATCCCGGTTTTGGGTTTAGGAGTCTAAACCATGCCACCATCGCTTCCGTCGTCGTGGTTTACCGCGTCTCCGTTATAGTTGTGAGATTTCTACTGCGTGGTTATCTTCACCCTCGGCATTGCTCGGTATACGGTAGAATATCTACCCACTAACCCAACTCAGTTCCACTTCAACTTGGCCGCCTTCAGAGCTGTATCGAAAATTGGGTTTGTGAGCGCAGTTTAAGACACGATCCAATAGTTTTACACCTGGAATGCTGCTACCATACTAGGTGTAAAACTTCAAAGCTCGCTGGCAAACTCTGAGTTTCTACTTCTGTGCTTCAATATAGCAAAAAAAGCGAAACTGTCAACAGATGTTTGACACGTCATATCAGCGTAGAGTTGTTTTCAGATTTTATTTTCTAAATTAATTTCTGTTATCAGAATTCACTTGAACTATTGCTAAAAACTTTCAACATGGATGTAAGTACCTACGACTACATAAATTAGCATTAACATATGCAGTTACCCGTTGCTTTCATTGAAAACTTGTGTCATTAAACAAAGTACCATATTTTGTTAATTTTCTAGGAAAGCAATATTCCAATAGACATAAATATTGGTAAACTTCAAGATTGGCTCGTTAGCCGTCGTCATGTGAATAAGGAATGGCAGAAAAGTATAATTGCGGTGCGCGAAAGAATTAACAATGCCATTCAAGACATGCCTGCTCATGACGATATTGCAGCTCTGCTTTCAGGCAGCTATATCAATTATTTCCACTGTTTGAAGATTATAGATATATTAAAAGAGACTGAGAAAGATACTAAGAATCTTTTTGGTCGATATGGTTCGAAAAGAATGAAGGACTGGCAAGATGTTGTTAAGAGTTATGAAAAAGAGAACTTGTATCTGGCTGAGGCAGCACAAATGCTGGTTAGGAATATTAATTATGAAATCCCAAGTTTAAAAAAGCAGATAGTTAAGGAGGAACAGTTGCAGGCTGTAAGTATTTTAAGTTTTGAAATTTCATTTTTGTACATAGAGTAAATTGAAAATGGAATCATATTTTCTGTGCATTGTTTGAATATACTTTGACTTTTACACCCTTTCTACTGGGAGATATGAATGTGGAAGCATTGAATTAATTTACCTTCTTAATGTATTTTTACTGTGAGTTAGTAGTAATTTTTTTATATAGCATAACATTCTTTCAGGAATGGGACAAAAAACAATCTGACTACCTGAAGAATGAGGCGTCAAGCAAAACAGAGTTCCACAATCTATGCAAGCAGCTTGGTATCCAAGGAGATAGAATAAAAAAAGAACTGGTGGACAGGCTCCAGGAATTGCCTGGCATTTATGAAAAGGTAACTGGATCTATGGGAGTTTCTACAACTTGTCTGCCTAAAATCTAGCTGATTGATTGTACAGTTGATGCTCTAAGATACCTGACCCCTTAACCGTCTGTTTGATTCTCAGTAGATCTGTGTGAAGACAGGTGTTTACCAAACTTAACCTTAAATCTGTGAGCCATTAAACTCTTCTACTAGCCTTCTTTATTGAAATCAAATCAAAATTGATTTATTTCAGACAAATTAATACAGTCCTTATTCTTATAAAAGTTACACAAATATAACCCATAGAGTCCCATCAGGATCTACCAAAATTGCATCATTAATGAATGACATTTTAAGATACTTTTTAAGCCAATTTAATCTTTAATTAAATTACATAAATACAGATTTTATTGAAAAAGCTAGAATTCCTTTACACTTTTCTGTTGAATTTGTAAGAAGGGTCTCAGAACCAAAAGGTCAGTTAGAGGGTCAGATATCTTAAGACATCGTTTGTACATTCAAAATTTAAAAAGAGCTTTTTTGGCCCAAATCTTGCTTTATCTCTTGAACTGAAAATGGAATCTACAAATCCACTTGTTACTTAATGAGAATGCAGACTTTCAGGTGATTTCTTATTGAGAAATAATTACAATAATTCAGCTTCAATTATATGTAATCACTTCATTTTACTTTCAGATTGGTAAATCTTTGAAACCTCTTCTACCTGGGATAGAACTGTACTCAGCTTTCACACAATACATCTTAGGCAATAAAGCTACGGAAGTGTTACCGCTTTTGCAATATGTTGTTGAACATGGCAACACTACTGTGTATGAATGGAGATATGGGGAGCCACCATTAAGTATTGAACCTGATCCAATACATATTGAGTTAGATGATGAAGAAGATAATGGGGCTGGAGATCAGGTGAATTTGGGATATACTTAACCTCACTTGCTTTTATATGAAGCAGCACCCAGCAGTTATTTGGCAATTTTGCATAACATCTGACAATTAATAATATAGCTTGATTATACAAGCTTCAGTTCAGTACACAGGGTTATTTGAAAAAACATTAACAACTTCACAGGACTATAATATTACTAACATCATCATCATAATTTTCGAGGTATTTCGGGGTGCTCATTACGAATATGGCACTCATTTCTAAATCCAAGAATTGCATTGAATTTTAATTGCAATTAAAATTAATTGTGATGTTGCAATTGATTTGAATTGCAATTAATTTTTTTTGAAATTTAATTGACTAACGCCTAACACTGCCTGTTAGTTTGTCGATATTTAACAAATAACCCTGTATACTATGTTTCCACGAGATTTTTAAAATTCTACATAAAATTACAGATAGATTTCGGTGAAAATGAAATAGATTTCGGGTCCATTGAGGCGCCGGCCGGCGAGATTAACTTCGGCGATGGCGATGCAGAAGCAGCAGATATTGACTGGGGGAACATTGGGGACGCGCCCGCTGCTGACATTGTGAGTCTCTATAAAAAAATGATCAGGGCCCCAAATCTGCTAATTTTCTTTAAACCATTGGTCAAAGTCATTCCAATGAGACTCCACTGCGATCATATTTTGCAATTTATGGTAATGTTTATTATTCTGCTAAAATCTAGTTGGAATGGCAGTTGAGAACAAGTCGTGCGCCTGGTAGTAAGCGACACGCCTATCCATAACAGTAGCAGTGTTACTCAGAGCTTTAAATGCCAAAGATCTTTGGGGCACTGCCTCTGCGCCCGTCACCCTGAGATATAAGTTGACTAGCACCGTTACCCTTGAAAACCGGGACAGTGCAATGCTCATTTTATTGCTTGGCGGCAGAAATAGGCAAGGTGGCAGTACTTCCCTGGACAAAATCTTTCACACGGAGCTCTACTGTTACTAATAATCAATAATGATCGGTGTTGCCTTACTAAAACTACCATGGAAATTACAATGCTTAATTTTCCTAATCTCGTTTGATCAACAATTTCTCTGTCTTTTTGATGACAGTTCATTGCGCAAGTGTTGCCCACTTGCAAGCAGCTAGTGATTGCAGTCGATAAATATTCTGTCGACTATCGACTAAATGTTGGTCACGCTTAAGGAATAAATAGCCGAACTTGATTCATTTGAATCATCGTCGGCCCATTATTCGTCCAATTACTGAGCACAAGTTCATGTGAATTGTCAATATTTGTAAATTCATGCATACATATGACACACTGTATTTAGAACTATGTCTATGAAAAATACAAAGAGGAGTTTCTCATTTTAATTCATTTTAGGTAATCAATTCCGTCTATTCTTGTTAAAATGTATATGAATAAAAATTGATTTCGATACTAGTGGGCCAACTGTCCAAATGAGAACAAAAAAATACAATAACGCAATTACTAAACATTAGACCGTCTTAATATTCATAAAAAAAAAATTATCTTTGTGAAAGAATCTATCGATGAAACTATCGACAACAACTACATGACTATTTAAAATTTTATGAAAACTGGCAACCTTGTAAATGTCATTTTTCTCCGTCATCAAAAAAGGCACGAGTCTTCAAATTAAACATATATAATATTAGTAGCAGAATACCAAAAAATTGCAATGGCAGTGAATAGTAGCTCGATGGCTAGCCACTAACAACTACTCTTAACTTTTTAGAAGAATATCAAACATATAAAATCTTGCCATTAACAGTGTTACACAACTGAGATGATTTAAAATTAGCAGCAATTAGTTACGGAATCTTATCAGTGTTGACGTTAAGTCCTATAATGTTTGTGTTCAGGATCTATCAGCTGATATTGCAGCAGTGTCATTAGAAGAGTCTGGTATAGTCGTAGAGGAGCAAGGCCTGGCGGGAGGCGTGGCACGGGGCCGTGACGCACTCACACTACTGGATAACCCTACTACCCGCAATCAGCTTATTGATCAACTTGTCGAGGTACGTTTTATTCTAAACGTGGATTACAGAAGATCATGGACACTACGCCAACTTAATTTTATAGTAATTTTCTGTTTTTAATGTGAACAACCTTATTTTATTACTAATGCTTCCCAAATTTTGTGAAAAACAATAAAGAAACAAAAAAAAATTAGAAAAAGAAACAAAAAAACGTACTTTGTGAAAAAAAAGAAAAAACAACATAAAAATTGTGATGACTAAAAAATAAAGTTGGCTGACGTGACCAACATGTGTTTTTCAGCTGGAGTCTTTCCTTAAAATGCGCCTCTACGAAACAAACACTTCAAGCGAGATCGCGAGCTTCTCTCTCATCCAACAATTGCCAACGGAGAGCACTGCTGCCCTGGCCGCCATGTTGGACGCCGTACAAGTAGTTACAGCCAGTCTTACGACGCCCGAAATTAATCATTTACACAACGTCAAACATTCTCCAAGGTAGTTAATTATATTGAATAATAATGCTCTGTGTGAAATGTGTTTGTACAAAAAAAAATAATATTTTAAATGCGAAAGTAACTCCGACTGTTACGTTTTAAGGAATTTTTAATTTTTAATTTTAGGATTTTTTAACCGACGCCATTTCGTGCCGTCATTGTGTAAGCAAAACTTTTAAAACAATAATAGAATAAATACCGTGAAACGAAATTCTCAAACACATTTACATACATAATAATTATTTATAATAAATAACATATTTAAAATTATTATGCAATTATTGCATTTCTTTTACTCGCAATATTCACTAATGATTAAATGAAAGCTTTTTGTCTTTATATAATTAACAGAAATACTGTAATAAACGTAAAGAAACAAAAGAGAAATGTTACGAACACTAAACGGAAGTTTTTAATAACATATTGTCATATCATTTGTCATCAATTGTTACGGTGTTTTCCTCTACTGTTATCTATTGTCTGAACAAAAAGGTTTATGATCACTGCTTATTTGTTTACGTTTCTTCTACTTCTAAATGAAACGAAGTATAGGAGACGGACGTAGAAAATCAATACATCTATGATAATTTCAGTACAGAAAAAAACCGACCTCAAAAGTACGTGGAATTACGTCTATTTGCTAAGTTTTATTGAAATATCCCCTACTTCGCCACTATACAGGACTTGACACTGGAGATAATAAAAATCGGTTCTCACTACTCAAAGTATATTGAGAGAAAACGCCTTGAATTGGAGAAATAGCAAAATCAACCATAAAAAATAATTGCTCCTAAATTAAAGTTAGGCTCTATTTATAAAAATTAATCTTCATGCGTGAACAGCCACCCTTAGTGGTGTATGATTTTCTTCAAAATGAAATGGGACCACTATGGAAGTACCCCCTTCCCAACAAAAAAAGAATCATGAAAACCAGTTCACAAATACAGTGGAATTCAGTACGTCCTCCTTTTTTGGAGTCGGTTAAAAATAGTATAGTACAGTACAGTGTGTCCATGACACCCGCGACACAGGGTTTCCCCGGTGCGGGACCATGAGTGTGTGCGTTATTATTATTATATTATTATTGATAGAACGAAACACTTGCTATATGTCAGGATGCGAAGAACTAAATAAGTTTGTGTTTAAACAGATACGTGGACGTGCTGACAGCGCAACTTAAGCAGAAGCTGACGCTCTGCGACAAGCTGTCCCGGCTGGCTGCGCGTGCGGCGGACCACCGACAAGCGGCAGTGGCGCGCGCGGCCGATCTGAGGCCGTTGCTGGCGAGGATCATTGAGAGGACTAAGGAGCTGCAGGCTCATGTGAGTTACGTTCTTCTCTTACATTAAAGGTGCTTTTCCACCGGCGAGGCGAGATTAGAATTTCAAACCTATCTCGCCGAGATTTCTGTTTCTAATAATTGCGATTGATATTAACCCGTTCATTATTAGTAAAACACACAACAATGTCACTTCTTTTATTTGTGCCATAGTGCTTATATTAATTCAATATAAAATAACATATCGACGCCTCCTACGTTAAGAATGGTATGTCGAAATTGCCAAGTTTACAGGGGAGCCTTTAAAGTTCTGAATTCACTGAAATGAGCACAACACGTGACTTTAACATTTCTGGGTTTTATTTGGCAAAGCTCGTTACTCACATAGAGTATTATAAAATCCTAGAACAACCACAATTTATTTTATAATTCCACTCCCTAGCCGCTAGCCATACAAACATGGAAGCGAAACGCTTATAAAAACGCTTAAATATCTACAAGATAGGGGTGGAACCCCAGCCCACGTCTAGTCCCCCGATGATGGACAGGGGAAGGCGGAATCAAATTATGCAATTCTATCGCACATTATCCGTGCTATATCCTGTAGAAAACTGATAAGTTGGCAACTTTACGGCGGTGTTCTTCGCCTCTACTAATTCCGAGTCACCTATGAGCCTCTTAGCACGCTTGTCTATTGAATTCAAGGTCGCCAGTTGGTATTTAGCAGAGCCATCCCACAAGTGGCAGCAGTACTCCATACACGACCGGACTTGTGCTTGGTATAGCTGAAGCAACTGTCCCGGTGTGAAGTAACGCCTCACCCCAAAGGATGCCAAGCTTCCTGGCTGCATTTTTGGGCACGGATTCAATGTATCTGCCGAAGTTCAGATTGGACGACAGGTCCATTCCAAGTAGGTGAAGACGGTCTCGGCTATGGGTATGGATATATCACGAAAAGTCGGAGTCAGCTGAAAGGGACTCCGTTTACTGGAGAAAAGACACGCCTGCGTTTTGGTAGCATTAAATTTGACAAGATTGGCATCGTCCCTATCGGAGACTGCTTAAGTGTCAAATTCAAACGACTACCATCGACTCTCGACAAGACTGGATTTCTCCACTGACCCTTGCATTGGTCAAGTATGTAATAAGCATATTGTATGTAATCTTACATAATTACCACTAGGTCTTAAAATTTATTGCATAAAATACTATTGTTTTTGTTGCAGATCGAAAATGACATCTCGAAGAAATACAAAGGGCGACCGGTGAATATTATAGGGGGAGTGAAATTCCTTTAAACTTGCACAAAATGTTAAAACGAAAGTAATTATAATTTTTTACGAATGGGACAGTATGTTTCTTACATCTATTGTATATTCTAAAATATAAATTATATATATGTATTACTGTCTTTCTTTTACACAAGTACTAAGGTCTGAAGGTCTGGAAGTTTTTAAATAAGTTTCTGACTCAGGTTGATTAGTAACGATAATTTGTTTAGGGTGGAGATTTTCGGATGGACCTGGGAGTTCTCTCCGCCCGATATTCGACCGAAACAAATACTGTTAAATAAATAATACTCGAACAAATTAAAAGCTACATTTACATCATGCTTCTTTAAATTTGGTCGATTATTACTTATTTCACAGTAATTGGACGTGGATAAGCAAAAAGGATCCAATCCACAAAATTATCAAAAACTGAGTTATATATACCACACGGTTCCTAAAGTTTAACCTTCTTAGATCAGCAAAAAAAATCCAACATATAAACATAAATAAATATATCTGGAGTTACATGACATTATAAGTTTTGAAAATAAAACAAGAGTGAGAAACATTTTTAAACTTCAAAATGCCGTATCTCGGAAAGTGACTGGATGTGCATTGGCACCTTTTTGTTTAACTACGTCCAATTTAAATTTTTATTGATATTCAATTATTTTTATGTGACATTACTGCACTAGTTTGTTATAATTATTAATACAAAGATCGAACACTCAGAAAAAATCATTCGATCCGGCCGGATTGGTACCGACGACATCTTCTAGCATACCGTGGCAGACGCTATATCAACTAAGCCATGAAACGAACCAGCGGACCTCACGAATTTTTCTATGTGCTTGCGTCGTATCTTTGTATTTGGTTTTTCAACGGCTTTTTAGCTGTAGCGCCATCTATGAGAAATCTATAATGCACATGGGACTTTTCAACTTATGTCTCAGGGTGACGGGCGCAGAAGCAGTGCCCCTCAGATCTTTGCGATTTGAAGCTCCGAGAGGTACTGCAACTGTTATGGACAGGCGTATAGCTTACCATCAGCCACGCGACTTGTTCGACCCGTCACTTGATATTATAAAAAAAAATACCAGCAATCGTGTCTTGAGACTATAGTATTTCGTCGACGTTTGACGTCACACTGCACACTTCCCGCAGATTCGCTAGGTGTCGCCGACGGCGGCTGTGGAATTCTAGCAAATGCACGAGCTTTCTCGACCATGCGCGAGAATATCGCGGAAGATACGTGACTTGATTTTTCGCTCGTATCTAGTTTGTACATTACACAATTGCCCATATTTTCAGTTTATTACGCTATGTACAATATCGGTACAAAAACTTCCTTCCATTCCCTTCCGCCGCAATATAAATTGAACCTTAATTCCTCATGCACAACCAGTTCTTGCTGCTAAACGAAGAAAAAGGTAGGGTAAGTACTACCAGTACTTCCCTGGACGAACTGTTTCACAGGAGCTCTACTGCTATTTAGAGCTGCAAACCCAGATTCGATCCCATACCCTCTGCTTGAGAGGCGGTACGATAGGTGAAACCATAAGGCAACCACGGCTATACGTACCTTAATTTAAACAATTCATTAATTTGCAAAAACCGAAAATAAGTACCTACACCATTGACTTACAAATAAATGGACGACAGGTCTAATACAAAAACCACGAAAAAAATGTCCCAAGTCAACCTATTTAAACGTGTAAAGGAATATGAAAAAGCTAAAACGTTGAATTTAAATTGTAATGTCATCGCAGTACTGTCTAATTTTGCTTGCTTCGCTGTCAGTCGAACAAACGAAGACTAAAGCGTGAATGACGCTCTGTATAGGTACGATTTTAACGCCCTATAAGTTCGGACACTTTTTAGCGTGGACCCGACGTCCATATAATTGTAAGTCAATGACCTACACTGACAGTTTCAATTTGTTTTTTTTTTTTTTGAATAAATTGTATAACTGATCCATTTTTCTTTAATTTACGACTCCTACCTATAGCGATACCTCCAATGAATAATAACTACGCCAACTTATTTTTTTGGTCATCTCTATTTTTATTTTGTTTATCTGGTTTGTTTATTTAAAATTTTTATTGAATTGATATTTAATTATTTTTTGTGAAATTACTCCACTAGTTTGTTATAATTATTAATACAAAGATCGAACACTCAGAAAAAATTCCTTCGATCCGGCCGGATTCGAATCGACGTCTTCTAGCTTACCGTGCCAAACGCTATACCAACTAAGCCACGGAACGAACCAGCGGACCTCACGAATTCTTCTATGTGCTTGCGTCGTGTCTTTATTATAACTTTATTATTATTATTATTATTATATAATAAAAAAAAGTTTCGACTAACATATACCTATGTTGGGAATGCGTTTAATATCTCCTTCAACTAAATATGTATGTTCGTAGTGTCAGTCTCCTCGTTTGCCTTGGTTTGCAGAGTACAACTATGGTAGAAAAAGAGTTGTCATCGCACTAAAGATGAGAACCGGACACGTTCCATTTAACAGTTGGGATTTAATAATGAAAAAAAAAGCAATTCTCCTAATTGCGAGTTATGTGGAGTACCTAGTGGAAGATGCATTTATTGGTTACTGGAATGTGTCCGGTACAAGCAACAGAGGGCGGCGTTGATGAGAGACCTAACATCCGTAGGTGCTATAAATTGTATACTACGCAATCCCCACACTAAAACAGGCGAAAAGTTTGTTACAATTTGATGAATCGGCTCTTCGAAAGCGCCGTTCAGACATGTAAGCATTGACTTACAATTATATGGACGTCGGGTCCGCGCTAAAAAGTGTCCGCACTTGGAAGGCGCTAAAATCGTATACAGAGCGCGACACTCCGCTTTAGTCTTCATTTGTTCTACTGACAGCGCGATACTGCGATGACATTACAATTTAAATTTCGAATAGGTTGACTTGGGACATTTTTTTCGTGGTTTTTGTATTAGACCCGTCGTCCATTTATTTGTAAGTCAATGCATGTAAGCAATAGTTTACGATACGATTTAACTAAAAATAAAACAATAAACTCACACTAGGTACTTAAGCCTGAATCGTGAGGTCCCAGGCATACGATTAACATACATTACATGTTACCCTCTAAAAGGAAAAGAAATCGATATAAAAATAAATATGATAAAAAGGTACATAATTTAAAAATATGAACAATATTTTCTGCAATTTTATAAATTAATAAAATCAATAAAATAAAATGAAATAAATGAAATGCTGCTACAATATACAATTAATCCAATTTTCAACAAAATCATAAGACAAATCAAGCAACCAGTTCTGCGGTACACGTTTAGCGTCAAATGCTGAGCTGAGTTTTATGTCACAAAATCTAAGGACGTTGTTGTATAGGAATACGGATAGGAACGGGTGAAATCTCTTAGCAAAAGAACTATGTATGATAGGAAGCTGGACATGAAATACACGTTTTTTGATCAAAGCACTGTAGTCATTTGATCGAAGCACTTGCATGTGGGTTTTGATTGCAATTTTAAGAGCGAAGACCTTGCGAACGCTGAGAACACTCGCATAGGACTGCGGTCGGGTAACGTCGGGGCTTTTTCAGCATAGTTTTAAGATCACATCGTTGGGCTCTCTGTAGAGAGAGCCCAACAAGTAGTTGTAACATGCGCGTTTTTGCTGCACCAGCCCAGCTAGAAATGCAATACGTAAGAAGTGAGTGGCAAAGGGCGTAATGTCATTTTTAACACTGCCGGCGTAGCTACATCCCAGAGCATTCTTAAAATATTTGTCATTTTTCTTACTCGCCCCGACATGAAAGCTATGTGGCTGTCAAATTTAAGTTTATCGTCAATAGGAATACCAAGATTCTTAACAGTATCGGTTCTGCTTAGGCCTTCGCAAGAGTTCGCCGTACCACATTCTAGAACATGTGTGCGCTATAATAGCAGGTAGTGAAAATGGACCTGTTGATGAGGTCTTGTCAAAGCAGATGTACTGAGTCTTTTTGATATTTAAAGTGAGCAGATTTCGCTTATGCCAATCACACACCAATGAAAGACCATGTTCTGCACTTCGTGCAGCGTGGTCCCAGTCAGTACCATGAAATATGATGGCCGTGTCATAAGCGTAGCGAATTGCTTCTGCGTCTGACTGACACGTAGGTACCTACATTGTACACTCATAACTCCTCACTAGGGAAATCCTGTGTCGCGGGTGGCATGGAAAATCAAATAGACAACCACAAATACAATACACCCAAACTCACGAGAGAAATAAATGTAGGTCATACAAATACTTGTCCCGGCCCGGGAATCGAACCCGGGACCTCTGCCTGCCAGTCCAAGGGTGGTAACCATTTGGCTACGGAGGTAGTTAATAATAAATAAATAAAAAAAACGTATATTCAAAGATAGAGTAAGATTGTGGAGAAGTTACACGTCAACTATTTCTAAAAACGGTTAATATGGAACTCAGTGGTAGTGCTCGTAGTCTGTCGTTACATACAACAGCAATCAGCATAGCATTATGTTGATCCATAATATCATAATGATCATGTCGTAAATTTTTTGCTAAAGAATATAACACTCTATGTAACTAGTAAAATCCGCGCCACTGAAAGGGTTAACCTAAAAACGCATTCGGCATAAAGCCATCCACTTTAGTGATAATATGCAATGTTGGTGTTTGTTATAGTGCTTACTTGCGCGCGTGAAACAGACATGGGTTTAGGTGAGTGGTTCATTTCCTTCTTTTCTTTGTAGTTTCTGTCAGGGGTCGAAGTGATAATTATCATCGATAATTTATCGTGATATTTGACACGATAATTATTTTCATAAATATACCTTAATAATCATCTTGATACTTACAAAATTGTCACGTGTCGTGTCAAATGTCAATCTCAAAAGGTTCCCAAATTCCCAAAATTGTTCTACGGGTTTATATACTTTTCTCACTGTTTGTTGTTATATTTAGTCAATAATAAAGATATAAAGTTATGAAACAGTGTGGATTTTATTGGACATATATTGGATAATTGAAATGATAATTATAAAAAAAATATTGATAATTCAAAG